ACTGCCGATTGAAAGACTGGAAATACAAGCCTCAGCTACCCAGGGTCACCATGACATATTAAGGAAATGTATCAGTTAGGGCTCCAGAGAAACAAAAACAACAGGAGTGTGTGTGCGTGTGCGTCTAACTACTGAGAGAGAGAGAGAGATTTATTTTAAGGAATTGGTTCATGTGATTGCAGAGGCTAGCAGCAAGTCCAAAATCTGCCAGGTAAGCGGGCAAGCTGGAGCCCCAGGGAAGAGTTGCAGAGTGAGACTGTGGGCAATCTTCTGCCAGAATTCCTTTTCACCTGAGAGACATCATTCTCTTTCAAGGAAGGCCTTCCAATGACTGGATGAAACCTACTCGCATTATGGAGGATGATCTGCTTTACTCAGAGTCTACTGATTTAAATGTTATCTCATTAAAAAAAAATAAGCGCAGAAGCACTTAGAATAATATTTGATCAAATATCTGGGTATCATGGCCTCAACAAGTTGATGCATAAAATTAATCATGACCCAAAGTCATGTTTTATTTGGGGGTAGGGTGTTCTCAAGCATAAAGATCACCTGCATCCTGTATCAAGCAAATACATCCCAGTAGTCCTGCGAAAATCCATCTGTCCCTTTGAAGAAAAGGAAGATAATAGTGCTGTTATTCCCTGACCACTCTATAAGATGTTGCCTAATCTGAGTCTGTCCTCTGCTTTTCTTACCACTGTTGCAACCCACACCGTATCTTCAAGTTCCCTGGGCCAGTATAATAGAAGCAAAGGCATGTACAGATTTTATGAGGACACAGAAGAAAGGGAAGGTCCCTGTCTTTTTAGTGGCTTTTTAGTGACTAGTAAAGAGATTCTCAAGCAGATATCTCCATAGGCTTCAATAAGATGTTATTTTCCTTTCATTTAAAATGTGTTTAATTTTTTTTCTACACCTTAATGTCTTGAAAATAGCTCAGTGAAGAGCAGAACTGCTCCCTTCATCCAGGAACTTGTTAAGAGTGTGCAAGTGCAGGCTGAGGACTGAACAACAGCCGCTGGAGAGAGCGTGATGAGATGTAACAACGAGAATCCTGTTGCCTGGCTATGAGGAATAAGAGACCAACCCGATGTAAAACGGTAGGATTTGCGCTTCACGTCTTCCATTTACTCTCCCATGTCGCCCTCCGTCATTCCACCTGCTGCTGTGTGCTCTGTGCCCTAGAGAACTGACCTCTGATGGAGACTGGCTACAGGCTACTGTGCCACTGTGCTCAGCCAGTGGAGAGCAATGGTGAGAGGTGGAAGGAAGAAGGAAAACAAGGACTTGGTATTTATTTTGAGGCTCCCTCCCTGAGAGGGCCCATCGGGCTAGCTGTGTCCCTCAACCCAGAGTCACAGCTCCTTTCAGCCACCCCTTCCACAGGACTCCTGGGTCCCCTTCAGATCTAGGGTGGTTACCTGCTCCTCAGTGTTGCTAGCCTGGGGCGGGGCAGGGGGGGGTCCTGCACTTTCAGTCAGGCTATCCTCTCATCGGGCCACAACTCGTGCAAAAGCTCTTCCAATTACCTAATATGAGTGTGTTCTGGCTGGGACTGACTAAAAAGGTATTCCACGTGTTATTTCTTGCTTTGTCTGAAGAGTTGGGATAATAAAAATCCTCGAAAACATTTCTGAGTTTTTTGCAATTCACGACTGAACAGATACCTTCTGATGTTACTCAATGTTCTTTAAGCGCCGTGTAATAATTTCCTCATAAATCCAAGGCCCAACACAAATGTTCTTTATCCTGCCCCGAGAATTACATAATCCTTGGTGTTTCTCTTTTTAACCTAGTTTCAAGGAAGCTCAGTGTTGAACTCACTGTTTATTGTCAATAATTAATTCAACTGAGTACCCAGTTATAACTATTTCTCTGCTCCTTGAAATGTTTTTTTTTAAAACTAGTTTTCATCCCATTTTGCTACTGTCTTTTTTTCCCCCCCACTGGTTTTGGTCTTGTGAGTCATCTAAATTCTTTTGGGAGAAAAGGAGAAAATACATCCTAATTAATAAACATTTCAAAATAAAAATCAGGCCTAGATCAGTGTGAAACCTAGGTTCACAAGGGTCCTCTTGAAAACAAGCCCCAGAGGCAAGAGGCAGAGTGCCAGGAAGAAGGTGGATCCCACCCAAAGGCAACTGGGTCCAGGCAGTAAATCCATAACCAGCCCCTTTTTTCCACCATTGGAAACAACCCCAGCCCTGGATAGTATGTCTGTTTATTTAGCTCCCCAAGGGGCTTAATAGATATTTAGGAAAGACCCAAACTTACTCTTGGTGTGGTGCTCCTGTCTTTGTCAGCAAAGTCAGCACAAAAAACATGAAAATCACGAAGACAGCGAGACCAACCCAAAATCCAATCACAATGGAATCTGTAAACAGTTAATACTGGGATTAGTACTTCACAGCAGTTTAAAACTTGAACATTCAAGAATCTGAGTGTTTTGTTACCTGAAATGAGAGAAGAAAGTCGACAATCTGATAAGACAATCTTGACCCATTAGTCAGCTGGGGGCAGGTAAGATGTAGGGAATGAGGGCGAGGGAAGAGCCTGCATGCCTCCAGGTTTCTGTCTCAGATAGCTTTGAGAAACTTTGGCCTTTTTGATTCGTGGTTTCCATATCTTAATGAAGGAACCCAGGACAGAGGGTGGACCATCTAGGTCCTTAAGATTCCACTGAAGTTTCCTGAGTTAGAAAATATCCTTTTTAGGGGCACCTGGGTGGCTCAGCCAGTTAAGCGGCTGCCTTCGGCTCAGGTCATGATCCCAGGGTCCTGGGATCGAGCCCCGCATCGGGCTCCCTGCTCCGCGGGAAGCCTGCTTCTCCCTTTCCCTCTGCCTGTCTCTCTGCCTACTTGTTCTCTCTCTCTCTGTCAGATAAATAAGTAAAATCTTAAAAAAAAAAAAAAGAAAATATTTTTAGCAGAGACTGCAATGTGAAATTTAAAATAAATTCTGGGGGTGCTTAGCTGGCTCAGTTGGTAGAGCATGCAACTCTTGATGTCAAGGTCATGAGTTCAAGCCCCATGTTGGGGGTGGAGCCTACTTAATCAAAATGAATTTTAATTCAAAGGAACCCAATTTTGTATTTTCACTTACATTCATGCAGGAATAACTCAAGTCCTCATTACTTCTTGAGAACATACAAATAACCTCCTGTGTGCTCTCCCCGTCTTCTACCTTTCCTCTGTCTCATCCCTGGATGAAACTACTTTATGACAACTCTGTTAATATTGCTGCTTTATAAAAAAACTCTTTGGCAAAGCAAAAACAAACAAACAAAAAAACTCTTTGGCAAAACTAGGCTTGACCTTTTCCAAATTAAAAGAGATTCCATAAGTAAAGCACTTTCTAGAATGTCTGGCATGTGAGAAAAATGTGCCTCATGTTTGCCAGCTATTATAGTTAAAATTAGCATCAGTTTCTCCCAGTCTACTTATACTTTAAAACCCATGTTTCCAAGTAGACAAGGGAACACTGTGTGCCTGTATTTATCTTAACTCTTAGCCATAACTTCCTAAGATCCACACCTTTTCTGGGGCTCTTACCCTCACCTGGTTGGAACAACTTTCCCCAACATAGAGCTAATGAAAGTGTATCCATCTTGGGCGCCTGGGTGGCTCAGTTGGTTAAGC